GCCAAAAAATGAATTTAACGCTCAATGAATTAACAAAAAATCAAAGTAGGTTAGAAGGTATGATTAAAGAACAAACCACCCAAATTTCTGAACTTTTGAAAAAATTTGGAGATATTGAAACCGAAGAAGATAGCAAATTTAGTAAAGGAAAAGGAAAAAAGAAAATTGATAAGTCGAAACCTTTTTACCACATAACTATATATTTCTTATTAATTCTTTTATTACTATGATTCTTTATTTATATTTATTTGTATTACGGCAGAATGCTATTAAACAATTTTTGACCAAGTTGTTCTACGAATATAATCAACAGATTACAGATAAAGAACTCAAAATTCGATTTAAATCTTTTCTGGAAAGCGATGATTATTATAGTAGCCAACTCATAAAGCTAGAAAAAAAAGGCATTATATTCAATGAACTCTGGGAAGAAAAAATTTGTTCTTTTGTTGGTATTTTAATTTATTACTATTATTCGTCAATTAATAAATATGATGTGTATTATTTAATAAGTTAATGGTGTATACTATTGAAATGTTTAATTACTTACCTCAAATTGATCAAAGAAAGGTTATTATATGTGACGTATTAAGAAAGCGCTGTGAAGTACATTTGGAATCAATAGGATAAAACCGTTTGGAGATAACTACACTAAATCACAGATGAAGAAATGGAAGAAACTCGAGAACATACAAAAGTCTACAAAGATCTGTATACTCTGAGTGATCCAAACGATCCAGATTCAGACACCTATATTATACTAATAATTAAATCAGTTTTTCATTAGAAAATGAACGTACAGTAAAAAATGGCATTTGGGTATAGTCTGTATTAGAGATAATATTTGACGAAAAATACCTCTTGACGAAAATTGATATAAAAGTTCTTAATTCATGGATCGAAACGTTGGTTGATAAAGAACATACTGTAATTATTATATCTAGACTTATTCGTTTCTTTGTCATGTCATTAAAATACTTTATTTTTACTTAGGTTGATAACGCTGATGAAGAAGCATTTTATTCTCCTCTAGATTAACATATTGAAGAGAATGGTGATATAGATGATGTAGTGGATGATGTATTGATGACTAATAAAGATGGACAGCCAGAAAATTCTGATGATGATGATCTTGTAATGGCCGATTGATTTTTTCAAGATGGTTTATGAATCATTATTTTAACATGATACAAAAGAACATTAATTTCTCATTTCATAATTATTCTAAAAAATATGACAGATCGTAAAAGTAGATTACTGAAAATGCTAAATCTAAACAATGTCAAAATTCTCAATATTAACGTTTAGATAATATTTTTTATGATAATTCAATGAATCAATTACATCAGATTGCGAAAATATTACACTATTAATAAACTATTAGTAAAAAAACTACTATTTGAAGCACTGTTGCTATAATGTATTTTAGTGTTGATAAATGTATTAACAAATAATAATTTGCGCATTTTTCAACTAGCGTTGATTGACTATACATTGATTTACATATAAAATAATGTTGATATATACATTTTTAAATGCGTTGGTTAATATTAGGTCCATTTCTCAACGCTTTTTGGCATTTTTCAATGCATGGTATTGATCAATGTCATCAAATACCTATCCAAAACTTATTAATGTAAATGTGTGTATTAGGGCTGATGCCTCTCGTAATATGTAAGTATATACCCAAGTGGACATTTATCATTACCAGCATATGTCTCTTCTTTAACACAATCCTGGATCAAGAAATCAAGCTCACCTTTATCTATTACAACTCAGTGAGTAAGGCGTTTTTCTTCAACTTTACTTCCCTGTGTAAATTTTCCTATGATTACACAACTTATATCCTAATTTTTAGGAAGCCATACCTTTGTTTGCTTAGTAAAAGAAATAATTGCTTTCCTAATAGTTACAGTTTCTAGGATACTTGCTTCAAGAAAATATCATAAAAGTACAATAGGGGTCTAGCCTTTTGACTTTCCACATCCTTCTTCACTCTGACAAGCAAAATGTTTTCTATATTAGACAGGAATTGCTGAATGAATACTAGAGACAAATTTAAAGAATCTTATTTGCGCAAATCCAGTTATATCATCTTGTGGTAATTTTCTATTTACTGCTACTCAGATAAGATGGTGTGTTGGATGGCCAAATCGTTTGAACCATGGTGAATATTCTCCCTAATCACGCATACTCATTGGATAGCATTCCTTTATATCTATATATACAACACCTTTGACTTAATAATCAGGTGAATTCTAGTGTCCTCCATGTCCATGTTCAACACAAGACTGCTTTATATTTTTATGTACACTAGCCAGAGTAAGGTGCCAATCATTAATCTCGTTAGCAAGTTTACCTCTGACATGATTAGCACTAAACACCTGTTCTGCTATCTCAACTATTTTAAGTGATTCTAGGGACTCCTGCTTACTTTTTTCATTAATTATTCCATTTTGAAATTGCCAGTCTACCACATTCTCAAATAATTCCTTACATGCTTTTATAATATCTGTATACTTCATTTATGTTTTAAATGTATGACCATCTTCTAGAACAAATTGGGATATTGACTGGATCTCTTCCAATGTTTCACCTTTCCTAAGTCCAAGTCTGATAAGCCATATCACTTAGGGACCTTGAAGAGTTTTATTGATAACCTTCCATGCGTTATCACTATAATACTTCACCATTCGATCTCTTAGAAAATGATAGTTTTTAGGAAATGCATGGCCATTGTGAACTACTATCTCTATCTTTTCAAACCTACCTGTTCGATATTTTCTACTATTAAAAATAATTCTATAAGTAATATCAAGCAATTTGATTGGCCTCTTAAGTATTTTTTCTAATTCTGTTACATCCTCTACTCGAGCATCAGGTTGACGCATTCTTTTTTCCCATGTACTAATTTTTTGTTTACGTGTACTGGTAAGCCTATACCCTTTTTTTGCTTTTTCAAAATGCTCTATTACTTATTGGGTCACACAGTTAAATGCACCATCTTTTATTGGCATTAATCATTTACTATCTGGCTTTTGGATTCGATACAACCCATATACAACTGCATTTACACCAAGCTCTCTATATTCTAATTTTTTTTCACCTTGAATGATCCTAACTAAAAATTTCTCGTCAATTTCTACTCAAAAGCTTGACTTTGTTTTCTTTGTGAGGATAACATTTGAACCTCCTAGAATGAATTTCTTACCAGCCTTCTTTGATTCACGAATGGGCTCATATTTATCAATAATTTTGAAATAATTTTTATCCTTTCAAACAAATTTTACTCTTATAAGAAACTTATCATCATCTATTGCATCTAAAATCTTCTTAGCACGCTCTTTAGTCATTTCAGCTTTATAATTTTCTGATCTTTCAAAACTATATTTCAAATATGTTATCCATTCTAGACTTCCTTTATCTTTTGCCTTGTATTTCTGTATTAATGCCTTTATTTTTTCCTGTAATAATTTTTTTACACCTTCAATATCAGTATGCCACCCTCTATATAAATATTCTTCTTTTACTTTTATCGCAACTTTTCTTTACTTTTAGCTATTAATAGTATATTTCTGATATCTTTATATAAAATATAATTTATAAACCAAGTCAAAAATGTATATTCAGCACCATCTACTTTAAACATGTCTTTTGCTATCTGAATTTCCTTTTGCCATAATTTCTGATACTCTTTATTATCTGGAAATGAAACTGGCTAAAATACTTTTTTATCTAGATCTTGGGATCATCTTCAAACCCATCCTTTTAGTCAATAATCTCAGGAGCTAGTGTTACTTTTTTTCTTTGTCCTTCTCTATAAGCTTTAGTTGTTAGATCAGATTTGACTTCAAGATCTTCTTTTGACAGGGAGTTGAGGTTTCCTTTTGTGATTTACCAGTCGACTTTTCCATTAAATCAAACCATTCTACATCTGTTTTCAGAATCTTTTTACTAATAATGTTTGGGTTGTTTTTTATCTTAGGATTTGCTAGCCAGTCGGCTAAATCCTTTATAGATAGATGATTTTCACGAACATGAATTACAGGAGATAAGGAGTTGAGTACTGTGATTAGATTTGTTTGCATTTAAACTTTCTGTTAAGATGATTTGTTAAATCACAAGTCTTTTTAAAATCATTCTTTCCACATCGAGGACATTGAAGTATCATTTTTGATAGTAAGTAAATTAATTCAGTTGTTTGTATTAATAGTACGAAAACTTTTGTTTAAAAAATAATTAATTATTCCTCCCTTAATCTATCAATTAGTAGAAAATAGCCTAGCCTGACAGCATATCCTATTAGGTTTTTTTTTGAATTTATGAGAAAAAAAGAGGTTTGTGGTAAGCTGACTAACTCTGAATCTGGCCTTTGTAGAAAACATTCTGGTACCTATTATGTAATCCAATATTTTAATAGGCTTCAGGCTAAAGCTAATACTGATAATTTAATCTGGATGAAAATTGATGAATTGCTTCTAGAGCTATCAGTAGATAAAACTGAAGAAGCAGGAGAGCAGAGTTCACAGCAGATCGAAGTACTATAAGTGACTAACACTATCATTCTAATCATAGACGAAGAATCAGAAGATACTGGAGTTGAAGCTTCAATTTTCGAGTTCAGTGATAGGGTTACAACCCTTCAATCTAAAATCGTTACTTTTGGTAACATTCCTAAGCTCAGATTTATGATTCAAATAGTGAGGATATGGGTTTTGACCTCTTTGGAGATTAGTAAAGCTAGATTATCTTGGCTGATAAGTTTTTATTTATATCTTGCTAACTGATTTTTTTTTACATTATGCTAACCATTTTTTATATCATGTTATTCTGATTTTTTTACACCATGATAGCCTTTTTTTTACCTAAGGTTATACTTCTAGGTGAAAAATTTTATTATGTTCTCTCCTTTAAAGCTATCGCTTTTGCAGGAGAAAGCTTAACTTCTTTTTTCAAATCTAATGAGAAAAAGGAAACGTTTCTTGTCTTTACATCATGCTATTCTGATTTTTTTTTACACCATAATAGCCTTTTTTTCACCTAAGGTTATACTTCTAGGTGTAAATTTTTATTATGTCAGAATTATAATCAGAGATTCTTATAGCTAGAAGGCTTTGAAAATAAGATTGAGACTCATTTTGATAATTATCATTCTTAAGCTTCTAGGCGAAAATAAAGTGATCCGCTTAGATGTAAATTTTTTACTTTGCTAGATGATAACGAATCCCTTTTAGAATTAATTCTAAAATAGCATAAATATTATTATATATAAAAGGTTTACAAAGATTCCACGAACTTGGCTTTGAACCTTTAGTTTTTACCAATCTCGCATTGTCTCGAACCCAAACAGAATGGTATATTTTTTTTGCTATATTATTTGGAATTAAAATTAGACTAAAAAGGTTATAAGAGATTGTTTTATTCTTGATATCCTACAGAGTATTTTAATGTCAAATTTAATACCAAATATTTTGGATAGCAGAAAAAGCTTAAATTTGGGCTAAAGTTTAAAATTCTATAGTAGATTCTTATAGCTAAAAGGCTTTTAAAATAAGATTGAGACGCATTTTGATAATTATCATTCTTAAGCCTCTAGAAAAAAATAAATCAGTCTGCACGCTCTCCCTGTTGCTTATGTAATTTATTTATTTTTAATAATAATTAGTATATAATTTATATTATATAATATATGCATATTAAAATTAATATATATATATACATTTTTATATAGAGATTTTATATATAGATTCTTTATAATAAAAAAAAAGGAAACTACCAAAAAAAATTTTTTTTGCTTTATAAGTTAAATATTATTTTTTTAATAAAATAAGTCTAGATTTAACATTAACTCAAAAAAAATTTTTTTGATAGTTTTTTCCTTTTCTATTACAAAGAGCCTATATTATCTCAAATACTTCTTATTTATTTATTTAATTTTATTTTTTATATTTATTTAATTTCATTATGTATTTTTAATAATATTATTAATGCTAATATTATTTTTTTTATATTTAGTAATTCTTTATAATTTAATTAAAAATAAAATTAAGTATTTGTGTAAAATATAATTTTATTTATAAGAATTAAGATATAACTTAAGAAATATTTCGGAATATCTTTAATATTCTAATATTAAAAAGTATTATCTT